AACAAAACCATTATACCCTGATTTCCCATTTTCAATGGGTTCAGGGTATAAAAAAAAAATGCTGACGCAAAACTTTATATGCATTCTATGGACAGCACATACCCCAACTGATTCAATGACTATGACAATGATGACAATGATGATGATGATGACAATGACGTTGACATGAGCTGAAGCGCATCCGGCATCAACAGGGGGTTGTCTGTTTTATTTCCCTCACTACTCTCTCTACCTTCCCACCGCACACTCTGCTAGTCTGCTTTCTTTCTCTCTCTCTCTCTGTCTCTCTCGCTCTCTCCGTATCTCTATTAGCTATTTAATATAATTAATGCTCGCTGTGAAGCCAAAATGTGAAGCACGCTTCACTCCCCCCACGGCTGAGTGGTACATCCTGTGTGTACTTTAGTTAATGAGCACAAACATGAAAGCCAAACTGGGACACAGGACATTGTACTCAATAGAGACATAGCAACTGAGGCGCCCGCCCAGCCAGCCTAGCTAAATGAACTAAACAATTTTCATTAATTTCACACCATTCCACGAAAACGTTTTCGCTTTGACTATTCCCTAGTTTGTAAGAGAGCGTCGAATGATGATTAGAAAGTTGATCGGGCGCATGGTTAATTGTTTGAAATTCAGGTTAGTTTGAAAGTGCGCGAAGCTTGGAAGTTTTTTTTTAACATTAATGTAATTAGTTAAGTAAAATGTGTAGCCTACAAAAATCCATCCTATTGGAACTGGAATTAATCACTTCCAAATTAAGCTAAAGAAATTCTTCTTGAGTCCGATTGACTATCGATTGTTTCAATTAATTAGTTATCGCATATCTAAAGTTCGATAGTTTTACTAAACACTGTTAATAGGGAATTAAAAAACTGATAAATAATATGCATATCTTCTTAAAGAGATCTTATGCATTTCTCTTTTACCTACCACACTTACATAAAGATTAAGGATATTTCCCATTTAAATTACGAAATGATGCTAATTTCTGTGTTTACTTCCAATTGCAGCGGAACCACCAGCAGTACAAAGTACACGTCGCAAATCAGTGTTCGCCGAGGCTTACGATCCGGAGGCGGATGATGATGATGATGGCGCAACTGCCATATTCCCCAAGACAGATGAACAGCGTGCGCGTCTCGTCGAGTCGGTGAAGAATGTGCTGCTCTTCCGTTCGCTCGAGAAGGAACAGGTGCTTACACATCCTTTCAATCTCTTGCCATCCCTCAGTTTCCTTACTCCTTCATCTAAGACTCATAAATCTTTCACATATTTTCGGTGTAAACTCCACACACAAACACACACACACAAAACACGACCAGAACATAAAAGCCAAAGAGTTGCTACCGCAAAACCGAATCACGTTGTATGCGGGTTAGCTGAGTAGGTGTAAGGAAGCTATTTGTGTTGTCCCCCATTCCCTCACTTCCCCTTTCTCTGCTCACTCTATCTCTGGCTTTGTGTAGCATCCCCATAATGCCTTTTGGCTATTTTTCTCTGCTTGTTGCAGATGAATCAAGTGCTGGATGCGATGTTCGAGCGAAAGGTGCAGCCAGGCGATTACATCATACGCCAGGGTGATGATGGCGATAATTTTTATGTTATTGAATCGTGAGTATAGCCAACGCGAAATCAAATGCCAACAAATTGAGCACGCTCCAATAAGTAGGCAGCATTCATTTGTGAACCGCAGACGGCGTGTGCGCAATTAATTTGCATTTGTAATATTTATGTAATTTACCCTCAATGTATCTCTCTCTCTCGCGCTCTCTCTGTTACTAATCGATTCTCTCTTTCCTCCATTTTACAGTGGCATCTATAAGGTCTATATAAATGATAAACACATTAGCACCTATACCCACACCGGACTATTTGGTGAATTAGCGCTGCTCTACAATATGCCCAGGTAAACAATATATATATTATTAAGTGTCTTGTATCTGTTGGATAAACACGCGTCTATTTCTATCTGCTAATGTAGACTTGACTTATCGGCATTCAAAATGTTGACAGCTGCTGTCTGCGCATGAAATGTGCTAATTTTGCAATATTTTCATCACAATTTGACACTTGGCAATTTTCATAGCGTGAATACCTAGTAATTTAATTAAAGGGCTAACCAATTGTTATGGAAAAATTTATGGAAAATTTAAATCATGACTTAGATTTAGATTTCATCGAAGCTCCATATTCTGGAGAACGATTTCTTTGGAGCTGCCGCTCCTTGTGGGTATGCAACAATATCTTATTCGAAGCCAGACGAAATGTGTTAAAAGTACGAGGCAATGTTAAGTAACAGTTGAGCCAATGTTAAGCACACTCGAAATGTTAAACAAAAGATTCATTCAAGCGGCACATGTTAAGTAACAGTTGAGCCAATGTTAAGCACACTCAAAATGTTAAACAAAAGATTCATTCAAGCGGCACATTGAATGCCCTAGAAGCAAAAATGCATAAATAATATTATTATATAAGACTTACCTGAGCTTAAAATTTACAATATTTAACTTATTTACTTTTAAATTATTATAGAGCGGCTACCGTACAGGCGGAAACCGTTGGGCTACTCTGGGCCATGGATCGTCAGACATTCCGGCGCATATTGCTCAAGTCGGCGTTCAAGAAGCGAAAAATGTACGAGGAGCTGCTGAACAGTGTGCCCATGCTAAAGGCGCTGCAGGTGAGAATAGATCAGAGAGAAATATTATTAAAATGTGGATAATATAGAAAATACTAAACGCATACCTTCCTTTTAACGTTTTAGAACTACGAGCGTATGAATCTGGCCGATGCTTTGGTCACCAAGACCTACGAGGATGGCGAACGTATCATCAAGCAGGGTAAGATTGCATCTGGCTAATTGAGTCATGATTTCTGAAAAAGAGAAGAAAGCCGACGATTAATAAAAATACTTTTAATGATAATAATCACTAACTAATAACTAATAATTAACTACTAATAGCTGACAATTAATAATTGATAAGTAATAAGTGCTAACTATTTAGTACTAATTACTTACTGCTAACTAATTGCCAATACCTAAATAAAATAAATGAATAAATAAACGAAATATATACTAACTACTAAATACTATCGACTAACTACTAACTAATATTATTTAATGGTTGGTAGCTTGTAGTAAGAACTACTAAACAATTAACTACTAAATTTTAACTTCTTACTACAATCTATAATCTGCTGACTAATAACTAAAAGCTAATTCCTAATCACAGAAACTAACTTATTGATTACTCGTAATTCATTGATGACTAATCAATTGTTTGACTCTTGTATTGCTCAGGTGATGCTGCTGATGGCATGTACTTCATCGAGGAGGGCACTGTATCGGTGCGCATGGATCAGGATGATTCCGAAATCGAGATATCCCAGCTGGGCAAGGGTCAATACTTTGGTGAACTGGCCCTGGTGACACATCGGCCAAGGGCTGCTTCCGTTTACGCCACGGGCGGCACTGTAAAGCTCGCATGTAAGTGCCGCCTATAGCCCGACGGGCTATATCCATTTAGCGCCTCGCTTCCAGCCAGCTATTTAATGCTTCATATTTTTGTTTTTATTTTCCGTTTATTTGTTTATGCACTTATCCTGGCGCTCATTTGTGCACTTGTGTTGTGTTTTATGTTATGTTTTGTGTTCTGTCGTGTTGTGCGTAATGTGTGTGTAATTCTGTGTGTGTAGTTTTGGATGTTGTTTGCTTTGAGCGACTGCTGGGACGCTGCAGCAACCTACTGCAGCGCGGCATATGCGACTATCGCTATCTGGAGCTCGATCTGCGCGCCTACTTTGACAGCCTGCAGTCCATCTAATTGGGCATTAGTTATTATCCAGTTGCTACCAAGAGGGGAAGAGGGGTGATGTATACAAAAACATGCCATGCAATACCTGTGTGTGCACACACTTGTTTAGCACTCGCACTGTTGTTAAATCACCTAATACTATATACATATACAAAAATATATATATATATATATGTTACATGTATATAAGAACACTGTTAAATCTAGTTGTAAGCCCTAATGCATATGTGAAAATCGCGTAGAGAGGCGATAAGTTAGGTAACCAAGTTGAATGAGGTTAATGAGAAAGTTGCAGTAAGGAAAGAAGAAGAAAGAAGACAAGTTTGAGTTTAAGAGTGCGAGTCTAAGAGAGAATAGGAGCAAGAGAGGGGGAAATACATAGAGAGGCCCAGATAACTAGAGGAGGAATAGAGAGCCAGAAACGTTAACAAAAGGAAAAATTAATGAACTGAACCAAACACAAGAGCTAGAGGAGAGAGTTAGAGAAGGAAGAGAGATACGCGTGTTTAATTATTAAGAAGAATCGAAATTAAATCAGAAATGAGTCTAAGGTGGACTCCCTTTACTCTCGTAAGCATCACTTAGAAGAAACTTGCCTTACTTCACACTCAATGCAAGTGCATTTTATAGAATCCCCCTTAGGACACACACACACACACACCAAAGCGTGTTGCACCTGTTTGCCTCACCCCCCTTCTCCCTTGTTGTTATATCGTAGCTTATGCTTTAGTTTTAATTATAACTCAATTCCGTCCCAGTCCTGGACACAGATGCCTTTGAGCGTATCCTGGGCTTCCTCACCGACGTGCTCAAGCGCAATATTCTGATGTACGAACAGATGTTCACCGAAATGGCCCGCCGCAATACAAATCTGTGAAATATGCCACAGAAGATCCGTCATTATGCTTCTTTGTTTTTGTTTTAAATAATATTAATATTGTAACTATGTTTGTAGGTTCGTAAGCCCAAAAAAAAGAAAATTTCTTGTGTAACTAAAGAAATGAAAAGACGAGTATGAACGAGCTGTCATTAAAAATTTTACAGTTGCCGAGCAAATTTCAATTTATATGCAGTTGATTTGTATTATTTTACTTTTGTTGCACATACAAACACACCCTCGTACACACACGCACACACATAGCGAAAAAGGGCATACAAAACATCAAGTATACGCAACGTTTGCCTACCCCACAGCTAAAAAGTCTGCTGCCGACACAGACAAGCAAAAGTATATCCCCGCATACAAATATACATATATACATATATATGCATATATAAATAAAAGATTTCAATTGTGATTGGTAAGCGCAGCTCTATATAATATTTACGAGTTGAGGCGCCTGTGGTTGGGTATACACATACATATAGAGGGCAGTGTGAATTCCTGTGGGTCAACAGCGGTCTTTGATCTCGGAGCATGCCGGCATAATTTTCTGTCTCGTATACTAATATAATTTATTAATTTATAATAATCAAACAAGAAAAAAAAATATGGAAAGCAAGCATGTTTTATTTATTTGTGTGAAAATCTTCTGTCTATCGAACATTTCACATATATTGATAATATTTACTTATTTATATTCGATTTTCTTCAAACAGTCCTCGATGTGAGAGCATTTGAGCGTCTGCTCGGTCCCTGCATGGATATTATGAAGCGCAACATTGATGACTATGAATCGCAGCTGGTTAAAATATTTGGCAGCAAAAATAATATCACCGATACACGATAAAAAGTCTGAAACAACAACAACAACAACAACCACAAAACAACAACAATAACAACAACAGCTACCAGGCTAATGGGTTTTTTTTTAAAGGACTCTGCACAAAACTAAACGAAGGCATGCACACAACAACAACAAAATCAATTACCAATACAAGCGCAAACCAAACAAACACGAACACACACACACACATTGGACCCTATATATAAATATAAAAGTTAAAGAAAAAGGATTTAAATTGATTTAATTATAATTTAAGCTGAGGCTGGTTAATGAAATACGAAAAACAATGATAATGATAATACGCTAATGATAATGATAATCATAATGAGTTGAGCACTCACAAACACACACACACACACACAACTATTGTATTGTAATTGTAATTTAATGTATTTAATTGGATAAAAAAAATTAACTAAAATCGAAAGGAAATTTTCGCCTACTTTGTGTGTCCTTAGCTCAAATTAAGGACGTGTTAAGAGTGCATAGTTAATAGTCTTGTTTTTTCTTAATTTTAAACTATTATTATTATTATTATTATTATTATACTAATTTGTTATTGCTTGATTTACGCATAATTTAGCACAATATATAGAAGAAGAAAAACAAAAAGAAAACTATGCAAAGTCCCTTATTTTAAAATAGGTTCATAGAAAATCATAAAACTTTGCAAATTACATATATATATATCAAAGGAAACACATCATGCAAAAAAGTTTATATCTACAAAATACAAATTTAAATACTTATATATATACATAAAGTAACAAAACAAAGAACCCCAGACACATCTAATTTATTTATAAAATAAAGTAAAACAAAATAAAAGAAGGGAATCGTTGTACTAGTCTATATATATACATATATATAATTGAGACACCGAGAAGTCGTAATCCCCAAAATTCTTTACTACAAAAATACAAAAAAAGAAATGATTAACGAAGCTTTGTTTTTGGTCTTCCACCTAAGAATGGAAAGCTCTGAAGAGGTATAGCAAATCGAAATACGATCTCAATATAAGCAAAACAATTTCCAAATTATCTACAAATCATTTCTCAATTTCAATTGGCTCTACAAAAGGCTAAAGGCACAATCAATCTATGTTGCATGGGATCAAAACTTAGAAAGAAAATAAAAATTCGATATATATGCAAACATATATATGATATATATCTAGCGGAGCATAAGTACATATTTTGCAGATCTGCTCAGCACATTTATAAATAGATTTTTTCTTTTCTCTATTTTTTTTTTTTTTTGTTGGGCTAGACAGGAGTGTACTTCTTATAGAGTATCGTAGATAGAGCGAAGCAAAGCAATATAAAAACAAGGCCTAGATGTGTACTTAGTAGAGTTTTTATTATTATTTTCCATTATTAATTTCTTAACTATCCCAAATACACAAGCCCTACCCTATTCTAAACTCTACTCTAACCACAAAAATACACATGTATATGTATATATATGTATATCTATACACCGAATGAGCTTAATATATATACCATATATATATATACATATATTTGGTAGACCCAAAACTCCAGTACTTTATAATGTTTACTTTATTGTTTATAAAATGCGTAACTAAAACAAATCCTAGACCGTTAATCAAATAACAAATTACTTATGTACTTTGTAGTTATGTAAAAGCATATTATAAACAATTTAACTGGCATACCAACAGTCGACAAGGTGTTCACAAACAAAAACCACAAATATCTAAAGAAAACCTAAAAATATATGAATGCAAATATCATAAAATTAAAAAGCAAAAAAAAAATAAAAACTTGTTAAATGTGACATAAAAATAAAACAGAAACAAACAAAATAAATAAAATAAAAATAAAGAGAGGAAAGCAAAAAGAATAGCAACAAAAAATATGTTTAATCCTACATAATTGGTGTCTAGTCTATGTTCAAGACTTTAAAAGCAACAAATTCTTGAAAACAAAAGCATATTTAATTATATCAAAAAAAGAAAAGCAAAAGCAGATACACATAATAGAAGCTAATTATATAAGAAAAGCTGAAAATGCTGGACATTTTCTTCCATATAGACAACATAACACGCATAAACACAAATACGCACACACACTCACACAACCACACACGCACACTCACACAACAAAACGTTAAGCAAAGCTCAAAGAATTTTCACAGAACGCGCTAAAATAAAAATTAAAATAAATAACTAAAAACTATTTGTATTTTAATTGTTGTGTTGTAATTATTGCATAAAGCGTATTTAATTATGTATGTGTAACAAAAAGAGAAAAGAAATCAAAAAAAAAAAAAAAAAAAAAAAAAAAACAA